AGTTCAAGTACTTCACGCAGTGCATTTTTGAAAAATCTGTTACAGAAATCATGATCTCGTCATTTTCAAAATTACTTGAAAACAACTGGGACTTAGAGAAAACTTTATATACGAAAAAGTTTCGCATTTTCTGTAGCTTTTCAACGGTATATTATTTTCCCCATTACGATAAAGTTTATACAAATTACAACAAAAATATGTTTGTAGCAATTTTCAAAATTGACTTAAAATAGTAAGGAATTGGGAGAAACAATATATACCAAAAAGTTTCGCATTTCCTCAAGATTTCCAACTCCATATCATTTGATGCATTCGGACGCACGGTTAAACAATTAGCTCGAAAATACGAACTCGGTGGAACTTGTACCGTTTTCTAAAGTACTTTTAAATCATTCAAAATTAGAAAAAACTTTCAACATGAAAAAGTAGCACATTTTTATAAGATTTCCAACGCTATATCATTTGCCTCAATTGGATTAGCCGTTTAGAAATGACATTGAAAATACGAACTCGCCTGTTCGGTTTGCGAAAATTTATGATTTTCCAAATTACTCTTTAATCATAGGGAATTAGAGAAAACTTTCAACACGTGGAATGAGCGGTTTTGTAGCAGCTTCCAACGCCATATTATTTGCCCCATTCCGATAAATAGTTTATAAGTGCGATCAAAAATACAATTCACATTTTTTATGTGAAGAAAACCCAATTTTCAAAACTGCTCTTAAACCGCATACGTTTTGCCAAAAATTTAACTTGGGTCATGATACTCATGTCCATAGCTTTCCAACGGTATATCGCAAGCCCCATTTGGGCAAGGTTGGCGGAAGTTCAACCTAGCACCGGGGGAAGTTCAGGTCGAACAACTCAGGCAGTGAAATTGCAAAAAACGCAAGTTCATCATGACCCGAGAGCAAAATCCGCCAACAAGCGAGATTCCTATTTAAAACAGGCATTTAGTTGCTAAAACAATTTCTAGATTACACTTACATCATATAGAAGACGATTAATCAGAATAGTTCATGTGGGGAGACACGGTTGCAAAGATAGCCCGAAGGTCGGGTTCCTACAGAGGGAAGTTCATGCGTGTAACTCAGGAAGTTCATGTTGTGATCAGAATAATATTCTGATCCCGTGATCAGAATAGTGTTTTAGGGACGTCGGACATTCATGAGAGAGGCGGTCCGGTTCGGTCGTCGGACATGTCATGTGATAGGTAGTATTTTTTTGTTCATAGAAAACTCCGATAACTCTTCAACATGAGGGGGATGTCGATCAACCCCCTCTCGCCTGACCAAACCCTAGAAGCGTCGAGGCCACCCAAATTTACCAAGTTAAAAAGAGAGTTGTCGAGGCCACCCAAATTTACCAAGTTAAAAGAGCGTTGTCGAGGCCACCCCAAACCCTAGAAGCATTGTCGAGGCCACCCCAAACCATAGAAGCGTCGAGGCCACTAATATGATTCCTGGTCTATGTTTAGCTAGCTAGGTCTATGTTTGCCACTAATATATACATCTCTCATGTTTGTATATTAATTGTCATGTTGCAATATTTGCAGAAACTATGGATCAACAAAGAGACTTGGAAAAAGAATAGTTGTTGGGGGGTATAATCTTCAACGTAGGTGATGTCTTGTCGTTTCTCAACGACACCAATGGTCAGGAAGGAGAGGATGACGGCTCCGGTGATCGAACAATGGAGGAGGAAGGACATGATCATGACGGCGTCGGTGACCGAATGGCGGAGGAAGAAGGAGACCATGATGACGGCTCTGGTGACCAAACGGAGGAGGGAGCTGTTCCAAAGTCCGGTGAGGTATATATATTAATTAAGCCAGTGCTGACTAATTGATGCATTAGTTCTTTTGGTATATGTATATTAACTCTTATTTCTTCTTTAACGAGACAAGGCCTGAAGAAAAGGTTGCACCAGGATGAAAGGTTCACGATCACAGCACTCGCGGACAATGGCCAACCGATTGAACCTAGGCGGACCAAGGAAACATTTTCTGCTCAGTGCAGAGCTATTGTTAGGGACAACATCCAGCTATGGAATAAACCTAAGAACGAAGACCCTCAAGTTTCTTATGTCACCAATAGACAGAAAGATGATCTTTGGACCTCACTGAAGGAAAATTTCACCCTACCGCCAGAGGAGGATCCGAATAAGCCAGTTATAGAGCCACTGGTCAAGGCGTGTGCTCTTAAGAAGATGGCAAATATATTCAGGAGGTGGAAGAATGAGTTGGAATCAACGTTTGTCAACAAAGGGAAGACTCTAGAATTCACTGGCCGATTTGAGAAGATAAGAGATCACTGGCCCGCATTTGTGGCCTACAAGACATCTGCCAGGGATGGTGCTCGGTACCAATCCTGGTGATTACCTGGGCGATGATGTAGAGTTTGAAACAATGGAGGTGGTCGGATTCAGATACCAGTACGGGAAGCCTCTCGTCAAAGATGGAAGTTCTCCTCTAACAATGATGATGCGAAGATTCCATCAATGATACATGAAAACCTGCAGCGAGTTTGGGAAGGATGTTTTGATGATGAGAATTAAAGAGGAGCACGACCTCGTTGGAACTGGTTTGTTCTCTATCGAATTTGACGAGTTATTCCAGTTATACAATCAAAAGGCCCTCGACAAACCACTCGTGACTTGCTACTGTCTGTAAGTACTACTTCTGTAATTAAGTCTCTATATATAGCTCAGCTCTTTCATTGCATGTGTATATATAATTATCTTCACTATATTATGCAGATTGAAGATCATCGAATGCAGAAAAGCACAAATCTATGACAATGGATTCATTAACCGAAATATCATACATGAATGGACGGTTAAAAACAATGTCACAGAAACCGAGGACAACTTGCTACAATCGTTGCTCAAAAATAAAAATAAAAAGGATAAAAGTACTATTTCCTTACAACTTCAAGTGAGTGTTACTGTCTTGTGCATATTCGGTTTCCCTTATTACTCAAGGTTATAGTAATGTAATTGATGAGTTATGCATGCGTGCGCAGCTTTCACTATATTCCCCTAGAGATTAAGCTTGAGTAGGGAGTAGTAACCGTCTTAGACTCGAGACGAAAAGATCCCGACACTAGTAGAAAACGGAGTTTTATCACTGGTTCGTAAGGGCCTTTAGTGCCGGTTCTGCAACCGGCACTAAAGAGTGGAGACTAAAGCCCCCCCCCCCTTTAGTACCGGTTCGGCACGAACCGGCACTAAAGGACCACCACGTGGCGTGAGCTCGCGCCGTGGTATGGGCTAAAGGTTTTTTTTTGAAAAAAATTCTGCAAATTTTGGAAAAAAATTGATTTTTTTGATTTTTTGAATTATTTGATGATTTAATCTCTAATCACCCCTCTTAACTACTCAAGTGTGGATCACTCATTCCAAATCGTCTAACTTCCCGATCGGTCACCCATCCTCTCACTCCCCCAGCCTGAGCACGCTTAACTTTGTAGTTCTATCCCCCCTACTTTCCAAGTCCACACTTGTTGTTTTCCTGGCAAATGTAAGATGTCAATCCTATTAACCCTCAGCAGTTTAGCTTGAGCATTAAGTCACACGTTTCACCATTTAAGTTCGAAACTATTATTCTAAAAAACAGTAATTATTTAGTAACACTAATATTTCTTGAATAAGTTTGACCCCAATTTGACCATAGTTTGACCATAGTTTGAAATACTTCTTGAATAAGTAGTTTGACCATAGTTTGACCAGATTTAACCAAAAAAACTGAAATTTAAGCATATCTTTTTTTCCTTTTAGAATTTGAGAATTCTAAAAAATTGCAAACTGGCCGTAGGTTGTCAAAATCGGATGTGGATTTTCGTTCTGAACATTTTGATACATTATACATTTTTTCCCGACATCGTATGCAAAAGTTATGGCCGTTTTACTTTTTCATAACACCTTTTTGCAAAACATGTCCAAATTTAAGTTTTTTAATTTTCCTAACTAGTAGATGTAGTAATGTAAGTACATCTCGAAGAATTTTATTTTTTGATTTTTTGTATCATTTTCTTTTGTTATTTTCAAAACTGAAATGGCGATACACGGGGAGGAGGGTAGAGTTTGAAAATTGCCCTATAGTCCCAGTTTGTGTCTCCAACCGGGACTAAAGGTCAAACCCCTTTAGTACCGGTTCGTGGCACGAACCGGTACTAAAGGTTCAACACGAACTGGCATTAATGCATAGCCGTTCGAACCGGCACTAATGGTACCATTAGTACCGGGCCAAAATCGAACCGGGACTAGGTCCTTTTTCTACTAGTGCGAGGACTATGCGGACATGACTCAAATGCTCCAGAAGTAAAGTTGAATCGATTATTATCACACCATATCGGCACGAAGATAAGAGAGGTCACTTGTCTCTATTACCTAGCTAACAACTCTGAATTAACCCTCCAAAATCCCCGAACCCCCATTTAAAGAAAAAACAAAAATTCCTGCTCCTGCCATATGCTGACGTTTCATTTCATTATTGGCATGGATTGGTTGCCTTGCCTTGCGTTGGCGGTGCGGTGCGGTGCGGTGGGGGGCAATAAATTCCTTGCCGTGACGGCACCGACAAAGGCAGACATGTCCATGTGCGCGCGCAGCTCCACCTCTCCAGCTAGCGCATGAGCTAATCTAATCTAATCTAATCTAATCTAATCTAATCTAATCTAATCTAATCTAATCTAATCTAATCTAATCTTGTGACACCCATCATGAACAGATCACTCACACCTCTTGCTTAAACTAACGGCCTTGTAGTGCTCCGCTCCACTAGTAGTAAGACAATCTGACTCTCCAATTCCAGTTGCAGTTCCAATTCCAATTCCCCACAGAGAATGCTCATCCCATTCAAGAAATCCGCATCAATCAATCAATCAATCAATCAATTATACTTATAATCCAATCCAAACAAATAAATTAATACTCCGGAGTAGAGTAGAGTAGAATTCATGTTTCTCATCTGACAAAAAAGAAAGAAAGAAAGAAAGAAATCACAGCCACATGAGGATGAGAGCGGCGAGGAGAGACAGAGCGGATCCGGCGGCCCGGTGCAGGGCCATGGAGGAGGCAGCCGAGTCGTCGTCGTCGTCGGGGCCGGGCGAGAGCGAGGGGAGCGCCTCGGACGGGGCAGCGGCAGGCGGCAGCGCAGAGAGCGCCTTGAGCGCGGCCTCGTCGTCCGCCGACGGCTTGAGCAGCTTCCCATCGGCGCCAGGCACGTCCACCGACAGCTTCTGGCCCTTGCGGCAGCGGCCCGGGGCGGCGCTGGTGAAGTAGGCCCGCCCGGGCTTGGTGAGGTTGAAGACGGAGTTGCCGTCCTCCAGCTTGAGCAGCGGGTCGGAGACGTGGCAGGCGGCGAAGGCCTTGGCGGTGACCTGCACGGCGCTGTCCTGGCTGGGCGGGTAGAGGAAGAAGAGGGCGTCGCCGAGCTTGACGGGGACGGACTTGGCCCACCGCACGTACACGTCCGGCTTGCTGGACGGCGGCACCCCCCACGCGTCCAGACCGCCCACCTTGTACTCAGCGGCGGCGCACCCGTCCATGGAGACGCACAGCAGCAGCGCCAGGGCCGCTAGAGTCGCCATTCCCACCGGCGTGCCCATCGTCCGTCCTCTGCTTCCCCAAATGCGGATTGGGATTGGTTGTGTCTGGCTGGCTAGATTCCAGATGCGGATTTATGATGAGGAGAGGAGAGGAGAGGAGCCGGAGTGGAGGAAAGGTAACGGGTAGATATGAGAGACCATCCGCGAGAAACTGTCAGAGACAGAAGAAGTCGAATAGTGGTAGGCTTGACAACTGGGCTGAATGTATCTTCATAGTCCAGGCCCTGACGCTGTTTAAAGCCCTTAGCCACGAGGCGTGCTTTGTAGCACTCAATGGAACCATCTGCATGTTTCTTCACCTTGAACACCCACTTCGAATCAATGATGTTGACGCGAGACGGAGGGGGAACAAGTGTCCAGGTCTTATTCTTCATAAGAGCATGATATTCTTGTTCCATAGCAGCCCTCCAGTGTGGAATACTCATAGCGGCTTGATAACTGCGTGGTTCGGTGGTTGGATCATCCACAGCATGAGCCAGGCAAGCAGCAAGATAGGTGACCGTGCCATCAGTGTGCTCCTTGGGACGAACAATACCACTGCGGCTGCGAGTGTGTGGACGCCGCGAAGGAGCAAACACCGGGGCCGAAGGGATGTCTGAAGCAGGTGAGGCCGGTCCAGGGGACTCCGGCGAAGAAGGACCGGGAGACAGCGGGCCAGGTGACAGTAGGCCGGGTGACGTAGGTCCCGGCGGCGTGCGAGTCGCTGCAGACCCGGGCGAAGTAGACCCGGGCGAAGTAGCCATCCGCGCGGGCGACGATGTAGGGGAGTCCGGGCGAGGAGGCGGCGACGGAGACTGCTCAAAGGAGGCCATCGCAGGCTCTGGCCCGGTCGCAGTAGCCAGCATGGGCTCCGGCTCAGGCGCGGTTGGAGACGGGGCTCCCGGTGCGGGGTCGAGGGCAGGAGACGGTGCATGCACCGTCCGATCGATGTGCACCACAGTCGTCGTAGCGGGTCCATCAAGGAGGAGTTCCAGGCGAGCTCCACGTCCAATTCCTACACCATGATTAGGTAACAACACAGGTGAATATGCAACATCTTCAAATTGGCCAGGCATAAAAATGCATAGATGGTGCTGTGGTGGATGACTGAGGCATGGCAGAAAAGGGGAAGACAGTCTCATAAAAAACAACATCCCGAGATATGTAAACTCGATTGGTTGGGACATGGAGACACTTGTAGCCTTTATGGAGAGAACTATACCCTAAGAACACACACTTTTTGGAGCGAAACTCAAGTTTGCGATCATTATAAGGACGAAGATGAGGCCAGCAGGCACACTTGAACACCTTAAAAAAGGTATAGTCAGGAGTTTCACCTAAGAGAAGCTCAATAGGAGTTTTCATATTAAGAACACGCGTAGGTAATCTGTTAATGAGAAAACACGCGGTAGCAAAAGCATCACTCCAAAAATGAAAGGGTACAGAAGCATGAGCAAGAAGTGTGAGGCCGACCTCAACTATATGGCGATGTTTGCGCTCAACAGCGCCATTCTGCTGATGTATATGCGGACATGATAAACGATGAGAGATCCCAAGCTTATTAAAGAAAGTGTTGAGGTTGCGATATTCGCCCCCCCTAATCTGACTGAACATGGATAATTTTATGCTTGAGTAGACGTTCAACATGCAATTGAAACTATATGAATATATCAAACACATCCGATTTGCGTTTAAGAAGATAAAGCCAAGTGAAGCGACTATAGGCATCAACAAAACTGACATAATAGTTGTGACCACTAACAGATGTTTGTGCCGGACCCCACACATCATAAAACACAATTTCAAGGGGGTTCTTTACTTCTCTAGTAGATGAAACAAAAGGTAGCTGATGACTCTTGCCTTGCTGACAGGCACCACACACGGACATCTTTTTATTGCTAGACACTAATGACAGCTCATGACGGTGGATTATGTGGCGAACGATGGGTGTGGCGGGGTGACCAAAGCGAGAGTGCCACTAGGAAGGCTACACACGAACACCGCTGAAGACGCACGGGGCGGATGGATCCTCCAAACGGTACAAGCCTTGGCTCAACCGGCCACTAAGTAGAACGTCCCGGGTTGCTTGATCCTTAACAAAAAGATTAAAAGGGTGAAATTCACATAGGACATGATTATCAAGGGTGAGCTTAGGGACATATAAAAGATTACGAGTCACCGAGGGTACCCGTAAAACATTACGAAGATGGAGCTGCCTAGAGGGATGACTAGTTAAAAGAGATGCTTGGCCAATATGAGAGATGGGCATACCTACACCATTGGCGGTGTGAATCTGATCATGCCCGTAGTAGGGCTGGTAGGTGGAGAGTTTGTTGAGCTCGTTCGTCATGTGATCCGTGGCGCCGGTGTCCATGTACCAGGCTGGATCAACATGGTAGGATGGTGTGTATCCCTGCTCGACGCGCGTGTCCTTGCCCTTGGCGGCGATGTGGGCAGACGGGGCGGCAGGGATGTGGGCAGCCAGGGCGGCGGCGGGAGGACCAAAGTCTGCCATGGCAAACTGGCGCTCGTTGCCCTTGCCGTTGTTGCCGATGCCAAGGAAGCTCCTCTGAAAGCGGCGGTGACACTTGGAGGCGACATGGCGTTCACGACCACATAGCTGGCACACCACCCTAGTGTTAGCGCCCCCACCCAGGGTCGATGCAGGGGGCGGGGCTGCCTTGCCAGGTGACGGGGCAGGGGGGCGCTGGCCGCGAGAGGGCCAGAAGGCCGCCGGCTGGGCGGTGATGGTGGCGGAGGAGCGACGATCCTCGACGCGTTGCTCGGTGAAGAGGAGGCGTGAGTAGAGCTCATGAGGAGGCATCGCTGGCTTGGCATTGTGAACGGCCTCAGCGAGATTGTCGTAGTCGGCGTCGAGGCATTTGATGACGTAGCCGGCGAACTCCTCGTCGCTAAGCGGCCGACCAATAGAGGTGAGCGTGTCCGCCAGCACCTTCATCTTGTTGAAGTAGGTCGTAGCGGAGGAGTCCAGCTTCTTGATGTCGGCAAGCTCGCTGCGAAGGGCCATCGAGCGGGAGGTAGAGACCTGGGCAAAGGCGTGCTCCAGGGTCGTCCAGGCGTCCATGGAGGTGGCGGCGAAGAGACAAAGGCCAGCGACCCCGTCGCTGAGGGAACCCTGGATGGCGGAGAGGATCGCCTAGTCCTGCTGCACCCACATACGGTGTTCCGGGTTGATGGCCGGGCCGTGGACGGTAGGGATGACCTGCGGAGGACACGGTAGCAAACCATCAACAAACCCTAGGAGAGACCGGCTGCGTAGCAGCGGTAGGACCTTGGCGCGCCAGAACAAGTAGTTGTCCGGCGTGAGTCGGATGGCGATCAAGTTGTCGAAGTGGAATGGCCCGGTGGGCGTGATTGCGCCATCAGCAGGGACGGTTGGTGGCGGAGCCGCGACAGGATCCACGGCCGCGACCGATGCCGCGGGCAGGGGCGGGATCACGGCCGCAGGCAGAGTCGCGAGCGTGGCCACGGGTGGCATCACGGGCGGAACCTCCCCCGAGGCTGTCAGGAGGACGGCAAGTGATGAGGAATAGGCCGCGGGTAGGATCGCCGTCGTGGCGGCGGAGGTTGCAGGTGACGGCGGCGGGATTGGAGCTGAGAACATGGAGCCCACAGCGGTGGTGCCGAAGAACTGGGGCACCGACGGAGCCAAGGGGTGAGGTGGGAGGTTGAGAGAGCGGCAAGCGACACGGGGATGGACCCGGAGCTGGCAGCGCCCGAAGCGGAAGTGGTCATGGCGTCGGCGGCGGCCCTAGGGTTTAGGGTTTTTGGCGCGGCGGCGACGGCGACGGCGACGGCAGGTGGGGTGAAGGACCTAGATTAGACTCGATACCATGTAAAACGTAGGTTTTGGGGGAACTGACTCAACCCTCAAAAGAATGGCCTATCACATATATATATAAGAATGACATACAAGTTCAATACCAATAAGGTATAGTTTACAGAGTAGGGCTACAATACTAAGTCTAACAATAGGCTAGGGTGGGTTTAAGCGAGGTTGCGTGTGGTCCATACTATATATTGCCGGCCGGCTGCTAATCGATCACACATGGAAAGGAAAGGAATACTTGAGCTGTATCGTGTGTATGTGTGTGTGTGTTTGCCTTTGCCTTCCCTTGTTGGTTTGGGGTTTGAGCCAGAGAGACAGACAGACAGATGGGCGTGCGCTGGTGCTCATTAGAACATCACATGGGAGCACATGGATGCTTCCAGGTCAGGTCAGGTCACGGTTTACCAACTTTGTTTTCTCTTCTCTTGTGTACGTACATATGCTTTTTGTTTTCTTCTCTTGTCAGTCAAGTAGTGGTTAGTTGCGGCCGGGGAGTGTCCACTCCACTCCAGCATTACAAATTAAAAGTGGTTGTGGTTGGATTGCAAGTGGAACCAGCAGCTAGCTGCTTCGGCCGTTGTGCGCTAAGCCAATCTCATGGGGAACACATCCGCCCTCTCGTTCACCCGTTGGGTCAATATATGGTCGAATATGGGAATGTATGTGTCATGCTTATTTTAACTAATATGAAATATATAAGTTAGAACATCTACAACATGACCTCTCAAACCCGTCTCATACGTTTAGGAGGCATCCGGACCCGGTCATGATTTTGACCCGGACGGCTCCTCAAACGGCCCTCAAACGCCCAGGCTGACCAGCACCCCCATATCCAGCCCAAATATGGGGGCGCCCGGATACGCCCGCTACATCGGACCCGACAAACCCGACCCCACCCCAAATTGCACCAGATCCCTCCCTCCCCCCGAGCTGCCGGATCCATTTGCTCTCTCCTCTCTTCTTCCTCCTCCGCGTCGTCCGGCTTGCAGCTCCGCAGCCATTCCCAGGCTCTCCGCCACCAGCTCGGGAAGAGCGCTCCCGTCCTCGCCGCGGGGGACGTTGTCGCCGGCCCGGACGCCACCGTGGTACGTCCGGCAACTCTCCGGCTCCGCCTTGCGCTTGATGTGTTCGACACATTAACCGGCCAGAATTATTGTGATTTTGTTACGTA